AATTAAAAACTTGGTTTGTCTACCCTGCAAAGCAAAGGTTAAAATATTTTTGGCAACTACAAATACATACATTTTTTTCTCTTTCCTTAAGATTTAAACATCAGCTTTAAGTAGGAAAAGATCCAATGAGTTTAAACTGACTACAAATAAAGACAGACAAGAAACTACACAGAGAGTTCCAACCATTGAAGTCCCATATTCACTTCTGGCAAACAGTGTGTCTTGGAGACAAGAACATGAACCACACCACAGTAAAGCTGAAATACATCAACAAGTTGGGGTGAATCTGGGGCTGAAAAGGTAAGCACATCCTAAGGGAGCTTCAAGTGTTTGAAGTGGCACCCCAACAGAGGCTTCGTTGCCTTGTATTTGATCTAGATTAATTCATGCTTCTGGACTTCTACTAATGGCCTGGAGCTATTAGGAGAGACTTCTCCTTCCCCAGCCTTTTTCCACAACCCCGCCACCAGAGATACCAGCAAGGTGCTGGGCATGACAGTGCATTGGGAACACTGAGAACACTGAGCCTTGTGCCAGCTATGCCTTGCCACCGGCTCAGAGTCAGAACAGAAAGCAGGGAGAGGGACTTTGGACCTGCAGGTGGGCTGAGAATTGCCCAATTTTATCTCACAAGTTCTCTGTTACAGTAGAGGCGCAAAACGTTGATGAAACCTTTGATCACCGCTCCCTTCCCGTGGCACACTGTGTGATGTTAGAGGGTTCTAATTTTTGCTCTACATTTACTCCAGTACATGAAGCATATTCTGCGGCTTGCAGTACACCAGAACTGACACTGAGATGTGAAGTTGTGTGCATGGGCAAGAGGGTTGGGTTTTTTTCCTACTTCGACACAAGCTGAAAAGGACAAAGCCTATTCACTCCAAAGCCCTAAGCAAGCTTTCTGTCCAGGAAGCTGCATGACTTCTGAACCCTATGTTTAGGGCATTTTGCTCTGCATAATCTTATCATTAACCTCATTACATTAGCTTCTGCACATCACATGTACCATATTAAAAAACTAGGAAAGTCAACAGAATATTGAAGAAATACAATTTAGGTACTTGTGGTCACTCAGTCTATTTAAGCTACTTCAAACCATGAACACCCTCAAAAAACAGTAGGTATTACCCCAAAAAGAGAGCACTGCACAAACTAACATACTGACATCACACACGCAGCAAAAATTTTATCACTTCCAGTTATCCACCCCCCACACCTAAGCTTTTAAAATTCTGCACTAGATACTTCTATAACTCATTAACTAAGCACTTTTGCAAAAAAAAAAAAAGGCAAACACCAGCATTTTCCAGGTTATCTTCTACTTAGATAGCAAAGTCTCTACCTTCTCCCTGGCTACAATACTAGGAATGACACTTATGTCCACCCACTGATATTTAAAATACATTCTACCTCTTCAGGAACAGACCAGGGAGAAACAAAAAAAAACCCTCTCTTATGCAATCTTTCTATAGAAGGCATGGAATTCTATACATACTCCCCTACAGCAACTATAAATTTCTCAGTATGATACATCCATCATTTCTCTCTAGTTCTACTTTAAGCACCTAGTCACAGCTTTATTAGCTTTACAGCCTGAACTAATATGGAAGTAATAAACCTCCACACAATTGTGCTACTCATCTGCCTTCTTCAGTTTTAAAGCCTTTGTTCAATTCCAGCCAACCTTGACAAGATCGAAAAAGGTGTTTGTTTGATCTCAAGGAAACAAATTTCCTACAAATTGTTCAAGAATCAACAGCTGAGCAAGGCAAAGACACAGACTAAAATGCAATGAGGAAAAGGACAGTTGCCTGCTCTGTTTGGAATCCAGACTGGGGAAGCAGCATTGCTACCACTTGGAGCCAGTCATAACACTTGGGCAACAGGAAAGGGAGATGCAAAGATGAAGGTGGGAAGGCGTAACCATGGATATAAGAGAGATTCAAGAATACAAGACAGACAAGGAAAGATACATTTTGCAGAGATGAGGCTTCAGATTGTCGCTGTGCAGGGTAACAACTGCCTTGCACTTTCTTTTATACCACTGCCATAGGATAACATATTTATAATACACAACAACAAAACAAGAAAGATGCAAACCAAATCCAAGCTTGCTTAACCAGGCCTATGTTAAGCTTACCTTTCTCCTCTTCCTGTAGCTATCAAAAAGCAATGGCTGTTTCACATAAACTTCTGAGATTAATTTTGCATTAGGAAATAAATTATTTTTAAATGTTGCACGCATACAAAAACACAAAGATCACATTGCTTTACAACACTGTATCCTAAGACCAGTCCTTAGCCCTTTTGCTGTTAAATATGATAACGCACCACTTTACTCCTTCTCCTGCTAAAACTTCATTATGTGACAGGGAACAAGCATGTTTCATTCAGTCAAAAATGTTCCAACCAACTCAGCTTTCTATTTCCTTTTCTTTCCACTCCCCTTACAGAAGTTAAGTGAGAAAAGCACTCACTGGAACTTAAATTTCAAACGCAAGACAGGCAAGGCAAGATAACACTTCTGTAATCCACAAAGACATAACTCCTACAAAAAACAATGACTTTCCTGCTTCATCCTAAAAAGCTCAGTGCTCAATGACTCATACGTTCTTATCTCATCATCTTTGTATAGCTAGGTGAATAAGTGAGGACATTATACCTCCCCTGGTTAAGCCTTCCCCCACTCCAACCCCAAAAAATCACACAGGCCTAATGCTTAAAACCTTTTCTTGGAAGTCTCTAAATGTATTACATCACTGATGATCTAATGGATATCATCAAGTTTGCCCAAATGAGCTGCTTGTACACATTCTGTCTTTATTCAACCTAGTGTACAGTTTCTGACCTGGAAATTTAGTCATCATCTCAAGTGATTCTCAACTATAAGGCATAAAGCAGTAATTACACACTCTCACTTTTTGACATATCAAGGGAAATGCACCTACCCACTAAAAAGATGCAGTACAGAAATCTTACTTCCTCTGAAAATGTCACTCCAGCAGGCACAGGTGAATTACAATTACGGAATGTTCTCACAGTGAACTTGTGTGCATTACTGGAAACAATACTGCCAAATATCTGATACATTAAGTACATGAAATTACAACTTAAGAGTCAGAAAGGAAGAAATATACAGAAACAAAATAGCTTTTTTAGCTTCAGCTGAGGATATTGTCATCGCCTTCTATACTGACAAAGGCAGCTGAAAAATGGAAGTATCAATTTCTAGAAGTACCAAAGAGCAGAGGAGAAAGACGAGAATCCAAAACTGCAACCTTGTGAAGCTGGTTCTGCACTGAGACAAGGGAGAAATTAAATTAAATTTACCGGTTAAGAAAGAAGGTCTGAAGTCCCCAGGCAGGGAGTTTTCTATCTTCTGTGTCTGGATAAGAACCCTGTCTGTTTAACTCTTGAATGGCATTTCACCTGCTCCATCACAAATGTGATTGGTTGGAAGCAAAACGGTTGGAGGCACTCCGTTTCAGGTCCCCAGCCTCAGTACTGCCACCAAACCAGACCAGACCCTGTGCTCTGGCTCCCTCCGCTGACAACTTCTCAAATAATTCCCAAAAGGTCGTAGGGTGGCTCAAGGACAGTAAAAGAAATAAACAAATTTATTTCAATTTATTCCTGTAAAGTGGCCCAGAAATTCTACCTATATGCTTTTTAAGGTGAACACCAGGCACATAATCAACTTCCATAAAGCCTATTACCATCTAGGGTGGTTACATCAAAAGCCTTTTTGAAGTGGGTATGATACAGAAAAGCTATTATCAGAAGAATTAAAAAAAAAAAAAAAAAAAAAAGGTATACTGAAATCAACTTACTAAATCCCTGCCAGAAACTGCCACATGAAACAGTCTAATCAGTATGGCTCCTACAAATCAAAAAGGTCTCTAACATTATAAATTAACAAATCGGGAGGGGAAAAAATAGTTATGTGCTTTTCTTACAGTAGTGAGAAAAGATCCTTACAAAAAGGCTAACAAGAAAACTAAGCAGTGATGCTTCAGAAATATAGTGCTTTAACATATTAAAAACTGGTCAAGGAAAAAAAATGCTTCCATAGAAACATATGTAAATTACCAAAAACAGCAAGATGCTAAAACATGGGTATATTTCACTATTTAAAATGGTTAAAAATTAATAAAAATTAAAACTGGTTAATGTATTTTCAAAAGTAAAACAGAGGGATAACCAAAGCAAAAGGATTTTCTGTATGCTATAGCTGAAGTGAACAAAGTGACAATTGAGTATACTATTCATTGACAATGCTCAGGGAACGCACATTCAAAGGAGTAGACTCAAAAAACTTATAATGTAGACAACAAACATTCCATGGCCTCAACATTGTTATTTACTACACATTCAAGTACAATACTGCAATAAAGCCTGCAAAGAGAAATCAGAAAAGATGGAGTCTATTTCAAGACAGAGAAAAGTGAAAACAAGCACGATAGTATTACAAAATAAAGTATCTCTAAACCATTGATAAATAAAGCATAGCTCAAGATACAAGAGCGACCAAACAATTATCACATTTCAGAACTAATAAAAAACCACTCTCATATGCAATACATTGTATACAGGGATAACAGAAACATCCACGGCTACTTTATAATGAAGTACATACATTAAGAATGCAAATACTTGTGAAGCAGGAAAGACATCAAACGTTAATTGGCAAGTCTAGGAATAAAACATCCTCCAATAGCAAGTAACCCTCATCCATTTTCTGGAGAAGGATACTGAATTAGAATGGTACTACAGACCTACTACTCTGAAATACTTAGATATTCTGTGACCAAACAGAGCAGTTTAACTCTTTCAAACCTATATATAACATCCACTTCTATCTTATCACTTCTTCTATCTTATCATTTCCTGTGTAAACTCTACTATGGATCTCAGGTTTTCAGGAAAAATAAATACAATGGGCATACTCAACATCATAATTTTAAAATACAAATTTAGCCCAACATAAAGAACTATCTCACCTGGCTTTCATGAGGGGCTGGGTTACCCATTTCTTCAATCTCCGACGTCCAAAGGAAGTTTTAGTATGATCCAAGACCCAGAGGAGGCTTCCTTTTGTTTTCAAGTCAGTCTAAAACAATAAAAACATTATAATTATTTTTAACTGAACAATCAATAATGTAGTGAAAGTATCTTCACCACACTACCCAAACATTCTGTTCAGGCTTTAAGATTTGGCAACTACATGTTCACTTACTGATTTTGTTCACCAACAATGCCTTACACCAAGTACCTCCAGCAGTCATAAGATACTTAAGTATGTTTTTCCTTTAGCCAGAAAACCTTTTTAGAAAATGACAAGTTCAATTATGTCTCTGCATAAAAGTCTGTGCAGTAGCACAAAAGAAAAAATAAACCCTACTGCAGTCATATCACTTGACTGCACTTGCTCAAAAACTCAAATTTAGGAAAGTTCTTTACTAGTCAAAGTGCAATAAAGTTCCTAACTCACACTAAAAGCCAGCACAGATTAACTTCCCTTTATGCCTCTGAAAATGTAATCCTCCTTCAGTTTGATCCCATTTAAAATAATTTAAACCTTCTGGGTGAGGTGTGCAAACTAATCTAACTATCTTCATTTGGAACAACATGTCAAACAGCTTGTCCTGGGTTAAGCAAAGACAGACTGCTTAAAGTTAACTCTGTTAATTCTTTTTTCCCCCCTCTCTTCTCTTCTCTTTATAAAACAGCTAACAAGAGGCTATGTTTTGGATTTA